TAATAATATTTATATTTAATACTAGTAATTCGACGTTTATCTATGGAATCTATGTGCATTTATCTGAACTTTATTTATTCGAGAAAAATTTTATAATAATTGTATAATAATAGTTAGTTAATTCAAATTCAATTTAATATGATTTATATTCAATGTACGTATATTTAATACTAATAATATTTATATTTAATACTAATTCGACGTTTATCTATGGAATCTACGTGCATTTATCTGAACTTTATTTATTCGAGAAAAATTTTATAATAATTGTTAGTTAAGTGATACGCGAACGAAAAGTAATAGACTGTAATTGGATAAGTATTTTTAGCCCTACAGTTTTGAGGAATTATAATATAGGAAATCAAATTGAAAAGTATTTTTTGTTGTTATCGTAATTTATTCAAATTTGGCATAGATTAATAGAATATTTTATATTGTATGTAATTCGATCGTACAAATTTACACTACTATAATTATTTCAAGGAAAAGTAAGAGACAAAGGGTGTTACTTATGAATTTAAAAAATTAATTATTTAAATAGAATTAATGAGGAAACCAGTTAAAATAAATTTGTCAAATATATATTGAAAAATGTTTAACGGAAAATTGACAAATTATTAGTACACACACTTATAGATGCAAACATGAAATATTGCATTAGATATAAAATGGGTTAAATGAAAAAGACGAATATTATAAAATTGAAATAAATAATATTTTAAAGGGTAAAAGGGTAATATAAATAATATAAATATATATAAAGTAAATACTTGTGTATATAAATATATTCTAGGTAAAATTTCCTTTTCTAAAGGAAAATTTAACAATAACCCTAACTCTTACATATAGTGCAACAAAAGTAGCGATAATTAGCATATCTTTGTAATCTTTATCAATTAGCTATATAATATAATTATTAATTATTAATTTACAAAATTAATGTTTTACATTAAACTATATAACTTATTCAATTGCTCAAAAAAAATTTTTAAATTATCTATAATTTCCAAAACTATTGTTTTATAATTAAACTACTTAAACTTAATTATTTCCAATTTTTTTCCCCAGTACGAGTAATTAGTATTTGTACGAGCAATATTTTTATTATAATGTTACAAATACTTTCGAATTTTTGAAAATCTTGGAATCTTGGAATCTTGCATGAAATTTATAGAATTTAAGTCAGGAAAGATTTAAAAAAATATTAAGCAGACAATACTAAGAAATAGAATTTAATATAAATGATTCTCTAAATAAAATTTTTATTCCTTTTAACGCATAAAAGAAATGCATCAACTTCTTGTTAATCGACGTTGATTCGATCATTGCTGTTTTTACTATTCGTATTTGTCATGTTTGAAAACCAGAATTTCTGAGAACTGAATCATTTTGAATGTAGGAAATCATCATGCTGACTATTAATACCACGTAATACTTTTTTATATTTACGTTAAGCTAATTATCCACGGTATACGTAGTGCATACGCATTGAAACGCATAAACGTCTTGCTAATTCGATCATGTTTTTTTAATGACCTGATTTATGAACACCGTTTATAAAATGCTTCTTCCGTAACGAGAACTTCGTCACGGACGCAGTAAATAAAAACCATAAAAAGTGACTAACATAATTCAGAATTCGTTTTCTTGTTTAACGACACGAAGCTTTAGGTTTAGTAAATCAAAAATCAATTAGTAAATTAGTTAAACTTTTATTGATCATCGTATCGTGAATTCCTAACGAGTGTTACTGAATATTCAGAACCACAAAAATTTAGATTTTACATCGCGCAATTTTGGAATTCTTTTATTTAATTCAATCAGAAAAAATGCACAATACAAAAGAAAATTATGTAGTTTAAATTATTTTGCAATGTAATGCAAATATAAATAAATGTAATTGCTACATAAATAAAGTGCAGTATTTGAACTGCTGAAGACACTTCTAAGATTATTTTGTGATTTCAAAAGAATAGTATAATTAATATTAAATTTTACGTTTCAATTAAGCCTAATATTTTAATGTGGTAAATTGCATTGAATTATATTTTATTCACAGATACTTTAAACTATCTAATTCTGTCCTTGTATTGTTTTAAAAAAGTTACGCTTCTAACGTTGAACGGTTTTACTATTTTTGGTATATTTTACCATTTTATCAATTTTGAACTCTTTATACTTCAATTTGAAATTTGAAATTTGAAATTATAATATTTTACACGTACGTCAGATATTTTCTATTCCATCTCGGAAGTGAATATTGTACAGTTTCCCTACGTTAACACAACACTGAAGTTATATTATTCAGATAGCAGAACGTTTGCATAACAGATTATTTGAATAGCGAATATTCCAGTGATTTCTGCCGTACCTTGATATTTATGCTAACAAGAACATCAAACTGCAATATACATATTTCTACATTGACAATCAAATGCTAAAGGAACAATTATTACCTGCGTAATGAATTTCTTTGTGTTTGCAATCAAATTTTGTAGAATATCCATAGCGCAACTGAGTAATCATATCAACATCTTTTTTTTTTTTTTTTTAAAAACGGACACTTTATAGACGCATGAAGGGAAATGAAAAATTTTCAAAAATACTATAACTTTAACATCTAAGGAGGATTGAATTATAATGTCAAAGGTACACTCCTTCCACATGAAAGAAATTAATCCGAAACACCTCTTTTGATTCAACTGTCATTGTTCTACTGCAATAAAGCTAAATAATTGACTCAGTCCTCCAACTACAGAACTTCTGCCTTCCTTTCGGCGAATTCACCATCACGTAATGTACTTCTTATAATCGCAATATTTCCTCGAACATCAAATTTCTCCCGACTTTTAGCCGCCTATTTAATTTCCATGCGTTTCACCGACAATTTGTTTCGGCCTCTAAACTCGTCTCTTTCAAACGATCAACTCGAATCAAGCGCGTTCGCCGATCGACTGTTACGCGTATATACACATAGTATGCAACAATTGCAGGAACATAATTGTTTATGCGTGGTCTCGAGGCTACGTGATCTCCAAGCCAACGAGTCGTAACGCGCTGCATTAATTATTTCACATCTCAACTGCGAATGTGACGCCCGATGGGAAAAATAATTTGACGTAACTCCGACTGTGCGTCGTCTCGAGAAGGCGTTCGGAATTCTTTCCATTGTCGATAACAATTGCTTCTCAATAATTACATTATTGTACTCATTGCTTTCATTTTTTCTTTGTGATGTGTTGTAGCGTGCAGTGCGTTGCAAATGCGGATTTTTCAACGTTTATGGGAAATTGATGAAAAAAGTTAAATTATTAATTGTTCTGTTACTAAAAGTAATTCATATAGCAACTGGTTATAATTTATATATTATTATTAATATGTACTATTAATTGTATATTATTGTCAGTTATTATTATCATTAACTGATAATAATATATTATAAATTATAAAGATACATAAATTAATAATTTACTGATAATTTATTACAGTAACAATATAATTGTGACGAAGTAGGAAATACACTATACACGTATGTACATACTTCAGCATCGATTGTAACGTTTAGTATACAGAAGTTTCTAGTCAAATTGCTTTTCTTGCATCATTTTTCGTCCACCTTTTTCATTTTCATGATTTTCAATTCCCTCGTTTAATTTAATGAATTAATTTGACTTTGTTTGTCAATGCCAGTGTATGTTATGTAACATTGAAAATTCTGTTACAAGTTATACATTATGACGAGGATCATAAAAGAAGAGATAAAGATAAGAGGCAATTTGTGCTAAAAGCATTTCAAGATTCTTTTTTCCATTTCGAGAGGTGAGTTTTTGAGAAAAACAAAAAAAAAAAAAAAAAAGAATATCTTCTTCACGTTGTTATCAATAATATCTTTCTTTCGGAATACACAGAGCAATTCTTATTCTAAGAATAAGATAACGAGTTTAAATAAATAGATTTGAATAATTTTAAATAATTCTTGAGAATAAAATAAACACGCGGATATTGCACAAATTACTCGGAGACCATACCTGATACGGTGGCCAGATACTGTAAGCCTGAACATCCCTCCAACTGGGCATTTCCAAACCGGAAGCGTTCTTGCTGTCGTCCTCGGCCACGATGATCGTGTACGACGTGACCGCGCCGTTCTGCTCGCTGAAATAATTCTTCCGGAATCGTATTTGTATCGTGGTGCTGCTCCTGCACACCTCGGTTGGCACCACTTGTGTCGACGGTTTCGGCGGCGCGAGAATCGGCATTTTCTGCTTCCACACGGCCTCGGGGCCGAAGCCGATCTTCGTCTGCGCTTGAATGCGAAAGATGTACGTCTTGCCGGGTATGAGAGATTTAATAACGCCGCGGTATTCGTTTGGCCTGAAGTCCTGCATCTGAGTGTGGGCCGAGCCCTAATGACAACGGCAGAAGAAACAATCGTGTTAATTTAATCCGATCACGCTCGATTCGCGCGGAGGTACTTGAAACACTCCTTCAAAATGTGATGTCTAACGATGAGCCTTGCTTTTAACTGCCACTGTTGTTCAACAACTTGAGACACGCGCGTGTTACGTACGT